TAGTTGAGCAAAATGACATGTTCTATTTATAGGACAAATGATCAGTAACTCTCATTTGTAAATTAATAATAGAAATAAATTGAGCAGTTATTATGAAATAAGTTAAATGTTAATTTTGGTCCCTTAACTTTAAAGTTTTACACAATTTTGATTCCTTAACTTTTTTATGTACTTTTTGTCCCCTAATTATGAAAAATGTACTTTTTTAGTCATTCCGTTAGTTAGTTTGTTAAGTCTATTTAAATCTGTACATTTTTAATCCCTCAACTTCTAATATATGTACATTTTAATGTGCATATTTAAATAAACTTAACAGACTAATTGACAGAATGACTAAAAATATGTATTTTTTTATAGTCAAGGGATCAAAAAAGCGCATAAAAAAGATAAGAGGTGAAAATTTTGTAATATTTTAAAGTTAAGGGATCCAAATTAACATTTAACTAATGAAATAATATACCTTTAAGTAGGACAATTAACTTACAAGCTAATTTAACTAAGTTTTTAATAGGATAATAATTAAATTCAATTTATAATATATATTATTTTATCTTTTATTACAATATATAAATTCCAACAATATATATATATATATATATATAAACTTTGTTTTCCTAGCTCATTTCCCTTCATTTTTCCACAAACACTATTAGAGAACACAAAAAGATCAGTAAGGTAAATCCAAGGACGTATTTACACATATTTGCTTTCCGAAAAAAAGAAGGACGTATTTACACATGTGGTTGATGTTTACTTTCATTGACATGGCTCAAAATATTAAATAATCAAACATTCAACAAATATCATAATTTTTATGTCAAAACTTTTTAATACAAACCATATCGCTAAAACTAAAATCACTAACGTAGTAAACGATGTCGGTGAATATGATAAACACTAACATGGTAAATGTTTCCTTGGTTTCTAGCAATGACTTAGCATGTTCCAACCTACACCAGCGGTGCAAAGGGGGGGCTCTCGCTCCCTGGACTTTTGAAAAAATATTAAAGAGGTCCTATACTTTTTGAAAGAAATCAAATAAACTCTTCTTAAAAAAATTAAAATGGTGTGTTCTAATTTTTTTTTTATAGGTCTTATAATAAATTACTAACAACTTGACAAGTAAAATAGATATATAAAGATATGTTTATTTATTTGACATGTTTATCATTGTAATATCTATACATAGTTAATGATTATTTATACCAACTGACAAAATAAAATTGATTTGAAATTGGTTTTATCAAATTTTTAGAACATTTAGTTTCACTATCTAGATCGTATTGAGTAATATTTTGTAATAAAAGTTATGTTTCGAATTGACATTTAAATAAACATAAATTTTAACGAGTTTTTCTATATTCAAAATCCTTAAAATTTTGTTTTTGTACATTTAAATCTTAATCTTATTTACAAGTCAATAAATTAATTTTTAGTGTATACATTTTGAATAACACTTTACCCCCTAAGATTATTTTCTAACTTCATCTCTCGTCAATGGAATCTTAAAACACCAATGTGATATACGTTGAAACATAATTCAAAATAGTTAATCGACAGCTCCTCCTAAATTTCAAACATTGTTAAGTTTCTAATATATTCCACATTACTAAAAGTTTAAAACACCCACATTAATTAACCATTGCAAACCTATTCCATAGAATTGACTTACAACTTCACCTAACTTTCAATTTCTAATTTCACAAAATTTTCATACTTGCATTATGCCGGTAATATTTCCTAAAAATTATTTATAAATAGATCACTCTGCATTTCTTATTGCTCAACTTGTATCTTCGTTTCATCTTGTATAATTATCCTCTTATGTATTTTAATATATGCTTTTTTTCTCTTTCTTTTAATTAATTTATATTTTACATAATCTTTGTTACATATTGCCTTTCCTCTTTCAAAACTTGACTTGGTGTGAACTCCATATATAAGTAGAAACAACTAAGAACTAATTTGGAAAATGTGAGAAAACGTACATTGCCATTGACATTGTTTGAAAATAAATTCTTCTGTCATTATATGTAGGGCTGTTAACGAGTTAAGTTAAGCATCTAAGTATTTATGTTTGAGTTCAAGTCATGGTTTTTTTTTTTATATGAATCATCCGGTATCCGGAAGCCTATTGGGCCACCGACTAATCCGGATTCGAGCCGGGCAAGACCCAATGGGCGGCAAAACTTTCCCTCATGAATTTTAACGGAGCTGCATTCCCAGGACTTAAACTTAAGACCTCTGGTTAAGCTAGAAAAGTCCAAGCCAACTCATCCACCCGCTCATGGGTAAGTTCAAGTCAAGTTTAAAATAGTTAAGTTCATGCTTAACCTTGCAAGTATTAAAGCAACTTCGAACTTACTCATGAGCTTGAGCATGAGTTCAAATACTTTAGTGAGTGAGTACTTGAGCTTGAATTCAAGCCTTTTCTTTTTTCTTTTTTCTTTTTTTTTGTAATTTCAAATTATTTCGATAACTGATTATTTAACCATAAATTTTTTCTATTTTTTTAAAATATTGTTGTATCAAAAGATTAAACGAGAGCATTATATAAAATCCAACAATAAAAAAAAAAACCATAAAATACATTTGAACATTGTTGTTACTAATTCTAAAATGCTCAAAAAATGTAATTTATTTAAATTTTAAACTTTGTTAAGTTTTAAGTTATCATATATTTAAATCATAATAAATATATAAAATATAATTTTTAATTCTAAAACTAGTACTCATGAACAACTCAAAAATAGTATAATCATGTAATGTAAGTTTCAACTCTAATACATTATTATTATTATTATTATTATTATTGACCTTGAACTCGACTTATTTATTAAATGAGTCAAACATGAGTTAAGTTTGACTCTACTTTATAGACTTAATTTAAAAATTAGTCTATTAACTATCAACTTGATTTTATTTTAGTCTAGAAAGTATATTTTATTTCTAAATGGTCTACAAACTTTGGAAAATATTTCAAAATGGTCTATTGTACAAGATTTCAGTTAAAACTAACAAAAGAATCAACTTATAATTAAAATAGAACAGTCTTTTAAGTTTTAAAAAAGTGATATTATAATCCCAATAAAATATAATGAATTAAGAAATACTCTATAAAGATAGATTAGTTAAAATTTGTGATGAAATTAAGCAACTAACTCAATTCGAAGAGAGAAACCTATCGAACTTAGAAAGAGAAGCTCTAAAAGTAAGCATTGAAAATACAATCAGAATTAGAACTCTTAATTACAAAATAAGAACAAAAAGAGAAAGAATAAATATTTTGAGAAATATTATTAATACACTTCTATCAGCATGAGCAATGAACAAATGAATCAAATTAACATGTATTTACTCAATATAGTAGGAAAAAGTATAACAGATATAAAAGATACAATTATATAGATAATATTATAAAAATATAAAAAATTAATGAAAATACCTTAAGAAGAATTAAAGAAAAGGGAAAATCCCTTTCTCAAGAATTTGATTCTATTAAAGAAAGAATAAATAATGTCAAAAACTCTAGGAATTTGAAATAAGGTCTATTAAAGACTCAAAGACTCTGATATCGCAAGTAAAAGAGATATAAATCAAAATAGAAGAAATTTTCAAGATATTAAAAGCAATCGCTGAATAATTTACAATAAAAGTTTAAAAATGTATAACAGAATAATTCCACAACTAGAAAGTGATATAGATAAATTTTTTTATAAAATCCAGACACAACTCAAGGATCTACAAGATACTATAATATCAGTCTGTAGTAAGCAAAATATTGTAGATAGAAATAAAAGATTTAAAATAATCCCGAATATTTTCACAGAAAAGCCTAAATAAAAAAAGATAACACTTTCATGTTAAAAACCCAAGAAGAAAAGTTGAAAGAACTTGAACAAAAATTCTTAGAAGAAGAAAATGTAAAAGAACTAGATAATCTATGTAGACAAATTACTATAACTACTAAACAATTAGAAAATATAAAAATGAATACCCAAAAGGAGGAAATAGAAGACGAAATTGAAGAAGAAAAGGATGAGACCCTAAATTATTGCAAAACTAGAAAAGTAAATGGGCTTGTAGCTAGAATAAAGCTAAGTAATCATAATGTTTAGCAAACAAGATTGAAATTAAGATGAATGTGAATGAGAGGTGTGAGAAGCAATATAAGTTGACATTTGAAAAATGACATTTATCTCAAAATCACTGAATAAATAATAAAAATTGTTGTAAAAACTAGAATTAACCTAAATCTGAATAGAAGTTGTGTTAAAACTAAGATTTGTGAGCTATGAATTGTAGCTATGAAACGAGAAAGTTAAATTTGAGGAGTTGTATGTAGAGCTGGCCTTCCTTTACTTGTTTTGAATTTTTCTATTTGATATGTCTCAAGGAAGATAATAATCACCTATTCCCACTTGTACAAAACATTGCAAACTTTTTGGGGCAAGTTGGATAACTTAGTAATAGATATGATCAAAACTCTTTCCAAAATTCGCTACCTGTCTACCACCTCGCTCGCTTATTGGTCATCGCTGGCAACTTCTTCCTAAAATTTAGCCATGATCTTCACTAAAACCAAATAATACCAAATAAATAGGAGACAATGTTGAAAATACCAAATCTAGTTGAATACATGGTAGCCATTAGTAAGGTTTGTCATGTTTTAGATTACAATAACATCAAGTCTGACGTGACTTAATCATAACCACTCTTTCAAATAATATGACATGTGGTAGCATCAAATAAATTTATAATTTGTAGCGCAAATAATAATATTTATTATGAAGCAGAGTTAAAAGAGAGAAGTCCTAGCTAATCTCTAGTTTTTTTTCTCCTCACGGTGGGAGTGTTTCTCTTTTCTCCTCAAGGTGGGAGGCAACAAATCTTACAGCACGTTTCTGCGCAAAGGAGGCTAGGGCGATGACGGATCCGAGTGTACGAGACTTGACAACAGCGCTGGGGAAACGCCTATCTTTAACAGTGGAGGAGGATGTGGGTTTAGATCTGGATGACAGTGATGAGGCGCAATGGAGCGGCGGCGGTGCACGGTGGTGCCTTGTTAGCACAGTGCTAACCCGGAAAAAATACAACCTTGAAGCTATGGAGAACACGCTAGCAGGCATCTGGAGACCTGTTAAGGGCATGCACATGAGGATTCTTGGAAACAATTTTTTTGCTTTCTATTTTTTTCATCCGGTGGACATGCAGCAGGTATTAGCAGTTGGCCCTTGGCGTTTCGCAAACCATGTCATGGTTCTACAAGAATCAGCGGCGGGTAGACCAGTGAAGAAAGAAGACTTATTTGAGGTTCCTTTTTGGATCCAAATTCATGGGTTACCACCTGATCGTTTGACGGCTGCTA